GAGACACTAGGGGACACTGAGACACTAGGGGAAACTGTGAGACATGGGGACGGTGAGAGACTTGGAGACACTGAGACATTGGGACACTGGGAGACATGGGGAACCTGAGACACTAGGGACACAGTGGCCCCATGTCTCCCAGTGGCCCCTAGTCTCTCAGTGTCCCCATGTGTCCCAGCCAGTGTCCCTGGTGTCTCTCAGTGTCCGTAGTGTGCCAGTGTCCCTAGTGTCTCAGTGTTTCCTAGTCTCCCAATGTCTCAGTGTCCCAATGTCTCCCAGTGTCCCCTAGTATAAAAGAAAATATCACTGTGATAGATTTAAGCAGGTTTATTGGACACCGCAACGTTTCAACCTGTACCCAGGTCTTTATCAAGTCTCCAGTGTCCCCTATGTATCACAGTGCCCCCTATGTATCACAGTGTCTCAGTGCCCTTAGTGTTTCAGTGTCCCGTAGTCTCCCAGTGTCCCCTAGTCTCCCAGTGTTCCCATTTCTCCTAGTGTCCCAATGTCTCTCAATGTCCCCTAGTGACATGGGGACACTGGGAGACATGGGGACACAGACACTAAGAGACTGGAAGACATGTGAACACAGACATGCCCCCTTTTTGGGTATGTTCGCCCATTTTGACAATTCTGGTTATGTGATTTGCGTCTACCCCGACTTCTACCCCGTCCATAGACTTCCATAGACTTCCTTCTTTACTGGACAGCGCTGTTAGGGGGTATGGATTTACCTGAAAGATGAAAGCGTGAGATTAGCATAGGGTATGTGTTTTCTCATAGCTGCATCCTATGAGTTTTCCTCCAGCACCATGTCCATCAGATACATGACGCTTGGGAGGTAGGACTGTTTTCGTGTTTTTGGTCAATAAGATTTTGTAATTAGGTCCATCATTATTGTCAGTACCAGGCCCACTGGGCTCTTAATCTGGCCCTGGTTCCTCAAACTAAGCTGCTGCAGTCTACTGTACCCTCCAAATCCAGATGCTGTAACAGGAAGACCTCTAATGTTTGGACCATGGCCAGATAGTGATGTCCCGAACTGTTCGTCGAACGGTTCGCCACGGTTCACCGCGAACGGTTCTCCGCGGACTAATCATTGAGTGAACTTTGACCCTGTACCACACAGTCAGCAGACACATTCCAGCCAATCAGCAGCAGACCCTCCCTCCCAGACCCTCCCACCTCCTGGACAGCTCACTAAGAATGCAGCTTCACAATGAATGTAAAATGGATGCTGTCCAGGAGGTGGGAGGGTCTGGGAGGGAGGGTCTGCTGCTGATTGGCTGGAATGTGTCTGCTGACTGTGAGGTACAGGGTCAAAGTTTACTCAATGATGAGTCCGCGGCGAACCGTTCATGGAGAACCGTTCCCGAACCGTTCGGCGAACAGTTCGGGACATCACTATCTGGCCATGGTCCAAACATTAGAGGTCTTCCTGTTACAGCATCTGGATTTGGGGGCACAAACCTAAGGAATAGAGTTAACTAAGTTCTTAACGTTTTTAAATAGTAATGACTGGGGTATTAAATTAACGACCACATACAGTAAGGATATAAATACATTTTTAGACTTAGACATTTTTATAAAAGAAGGGAAAATCCAAACTAAAAACCATTTTAAACAGGTGGATTGCAACAGTTTTATTGAGAAGATCAGTTGCCACCACTCTCCGTGGCTGGAGAATGCCCCTAAAGGGCAATTCCTCAGAATTCGGAGAAATTGCAGTGATGTGACCAATTATGAAGATCAATCACTGCGCATTAAGACAGATTTTTTCAATAAGGGATATGATGCATCCAAATTGGAAAATTCAAGATTGGAGATAAGAGGTAGGGAAAGAAAGGAATTATTAACTTATAAAACAAAAACGAATAAGGAAATACAGGATGTCCCATTCATTTGTAATTACAACACAAGCAATCATCAAATACGTAAAATTATAAATAAATATTGGCCTATATTACTTCAGGACCCAACCCTTAAACAAATTCTTCCAGTAAAATCTAGAATGATATATAGAGGAGCAAAGAACCTTAAAAATACATTGGTGAGAAGTTTTATAAAAGAATCATTCCTCTACGCTGTTCAAGGATGAAAAGGGTTTTTATGGATGCGGACAGTGCACAGCATGTAAAAAGTCAGGCTGTAATAGAAGGATAATAAAGGAAATAATAACTAATAAAGACGTCACTATTCCAATTAAACAATTCATGACTTGCTACACTAAAAATTTAATTTATCTCCTGATATGTCCGTGTGGACTCAAATATGTAGGAAGAACAACAAGGCCTTTGCACACGAGAATTAGAGAACATATATATAAAATCCAAATAGGATTTGAACAACACAGTGTCTCATATCATTTTAAAAAATTTCATAATCAGAAGCCAGAAGGTTTGACTTTTATGGGAATTAAAAAGTTGAATAAAAATTGGAGAGGGGGGGATTTTATCAGAGAGTTGGGAAAAACAGAAATGGAGTGGATCTATAAACTTAACACCTTGATCCCCTATGGCTTAAACTCAGATTTTGATTTATGCCATTTTCTATAATCCCCCTCTCTTTTTCCCTTCTTCTCCCCCCCCCCCCTTTCCTTTTTTTTTTTGTCCTTTTTATGTAATAATTTTACCCCTGTTTTAAAGTTCTCGAGTTTTGTAGGAGATTCCAACCACATATTCCAAGTTAGATATATATATATTTTACTTGCTTTTTATACAGTTTTATGCTCTTTTATGTATTTATGACCCTTCTGATTTATGGAATCCGATGGACTATTGAACCATATATGAACTATACACTTCCCGACCATGAAAGGGACTCTGTTTGTATGGACTTTATTACATCAGATACAGAAAAGAACAAGAGAAGAAGAAGGAAGATACAAAGTCATAAGAGATAAGTGAAAGGACAATTTTTATATGAGAAACTTTAGAAATCATTTGAGACAATTGATAAGCTGTAAGGTTGTATCTGAAATGACTTTTTGATAAGTGATAAATGATATCGTTATACAGAGATAATATAAGACGAAGGAATAAGAAAATTTATATATGGGCAGTATCTGAAAGCATTCTAGATAAGTGACAAGTTGAAATGCTGTATTTGCAATGATTTTTGATAAGTGGTTAACGGCAGGGTTATACAGAGACAAAATCTGCCGTTCATATGCGCAAGGTTCTTGCTAAATTGTACCGGTGTATGGGAACTTCACTTGCCGACTGTGTGTGTAAACGAGATAGAGGCTTGAACCGCACACGCTTTTAATAGATTTTAGGCATATTTATGCCCTTTTATTTTGTAATAAAGTTAGCTTTTATCACAACTTGGATTCCTGGATTCACCTAACCCACCTGCCTTTTCTTGATGGGAGTGCAGCCCCACACTGCACAATACATGAAAATTGAGTCAAATTACTTGACTCCAGGCTTGATAAGAGTCACAATATTGGAAATTATCCAAAGAAGAGGGAAGACTACCCAAACGGACCCAGCAGTGATATAATTTCGATAAGGGGAGGATCGCCTAAACGGATCCAAAAACGATACAAACTAGAGCTGAGTCTACAGCTCCCCGTTTGTGAGTTTATTCATATATTCTTATACTAAAGATTACTTTATAATATACCATCTACACTATATGCGATTATTTCCTTTCCAGGAACTTGGTCGCCGATCCCGTATATATTCCTCAGAGACTACTAATAAGTGACAATTGATCCTCATAAGCGCTACATTCTTCCCTGTTTTTCAAGTATTTTGTTGTTTGAGGTGTTGGAAGAACCATATGAATGTTTAGCAGCTAGTTTGAAGATATTTGTAACCAATTGTATTTATTTAAATTATTTGTAATAAGCGCTGGTTCCTATCTATTATATTTGTACACAAGCCTAAGGGGAACAACCAACCCACGCCTAGTATGCGGACGACACCGGCCAACCAACACAAATAATCACACCCTGACACAGAGAAGCATGCCTGGGTAGCGAGGGGCCCATACCAAGCCCGACCGGGGTGATTCCACATCACCAAGTTGCAGCCCCATCCGACGGACCCTACCCTTGCCACCGGACTATGCACCGGGAACTCACACCCCGCAGCACTCACAAGACCGAAGCCTCCGTAGAGGCTACAACCCGCCAGGAGACCTCAGCCCTCCTCCTATTCCCCCACGGGACAGGCGTCAAAACCAGGTGAGTGGTTCCTTGGGCCCATGGAGAGGCTCAGGACCTCACAAACACCCTGACGCAAAAACCGTAACGCCACCTAGGCGGCGGACACCTCAATTATCCCCCCACCTTACCCCTGACTCATCCCTTACCCATCCCCCCCTCCCTGACACCCAACGACAGAAGACTACGAAACACAGCCAGTCACTGAACATGACACTCACACCAGCCAGCCTCACAATAGTATCCATCAACGCGAAGGAGCTCAATAAACCTGAAAAGAGGTCGACAACCCTACGCGAGTTCCATGCTCTCAAGGCATCCATAGTCTACATACAAGAGACCCACTTCAAAGACGGGGTTCAACCCAGAATGCACGATCAAATTTCCCAAGGGGTTCTTCAGCGACTACCACGAGGGCAAAACCCGAGGGGTCGTGATCCTCATGCATAGAAGGGTCCCCTTCGTAGAGAGGGAGACACAAACGGACCGGGAGGGAAGATACATATTTGTGAAAGGGACAATCGCAGGTCAAACTTACACATTTGCCAACATATATGCCCCCAACCAACTCACACCCTGCAGCACTCACGAGACCGAAGCCTCCGTAGAGACGAGTCAACTCGAGCAAAACCTCAAGCTGTAACACCCACATACCACCTTAGAACTGATGATCTTCACCAAGGTGGGACCTATGCCACAGGCGGGGGTAGTCACCGATACAAAGCTGGGACAGGCCAGATCCAGGGACTATTGGACTTATACCTTCCGAGCAAATCGCAAGTATCTAACACACCCGCCTGACCAGCATCATGGACAATCCCACACACATCTCACATAGCCAGCACACCCGCTCAAGGGGAAATAAGGGAAGAGAGCCAGGAACACCTTGACAGGAGACTTGCTCTCATGCTCGAGAAGGGGGGATGACGCAAAAAGGCCGACTGACCTGGGCAGCCGCTTCCCCCAACACAGATCCCGTGATGACCCTCCAGGGAGCGGGCAGGGGAGGCGAGGGCCCAGTTCACTCAGGGACCTAGAGGGCCACAAGGCAGCACATTGAAGGCAGGGCGCGGGAGGGGAAGGGGTGTGAGCCAGGCGAGGCCCAGTGGGGCAGAGCAGCTTACACGAGGAGGAGGCAGGGGAACCCAGGTCGATCCCAGAGATCCACATCTCACACTAACATCAGAAAGCGAAGAGTTCATCTTAGCAACCATATCCAGAGTAGCAAGAACGGGGCATGATACGCTTACCCCCCCTACATTAATGAAGGGCAACTCGCTGCGGGGGCTTCACAGATACCGTGCTTATTGAATTTATTACATTTTAATGTTATTGTTGAAAACATTGCTGGTCACGCCGGCCTAGCCGCAACGTTGTATAACTTCAGTTCGAATATATACGTTAAAGTTTAAGTATTAACTTGTATTATCTCTGGCGTGGCGCAGGTCAATGCGGCCTCTCACCTCCACACTCCGGCGCAACAACATACCGTATCGCTGGCGGCCCTCACACTTGCTCCAGGTACAACAAGGCGAAACAACACACCAAATTTACAGTATGCAAGACGCAGAGGCCCTTCTGCACACCCTAGATCCATCACTGGACTCACGCCTACAAGCGGGACCTTGTGCCCCCGCCACCCCGACTCACAGCTGGGACCCAGCAAACAGTGCCCCATTCAGACCGCGGAGCACCACGCCGGTCACCTACGCCTCAGTGACCACATAAATCTTCAGCATCCACCCACTTCCAGCCTCCCACCCCGGGGCATCGGCTGATCTGCTCATTACCTGGACTGCACCCACGCACTACCGACACACAGAGCGGCGCATTCCAAGTGGAAAAGTCTCCTGGGAGGTCTGACGAAGACCGAAGCAAAACCCCACTTTCTCTAGGCATCTGAAGAATGGCTACTGAACTTTGCGGAACTTTATTTATTTTAATTTTTTTTTGCTTTGTTTTGTTACTACGTAGATCATATACCAGTTGCCATAAAACGCTGGGCTGCTTGCATTTTGGTTGACTCTGGCAGTTAAGCTCTTGGCATCGGCTACAAAGCTCTCAAGGACGCTCAGAGCACGCATACAATGCTTACGGTACCCATATGTTGAAACGACTAGCTACCCAATGGTTATTATTGTTCTTGTTTTATGTTAATTGTTTTTTTTTGGTTCTACGGCGAGTACCTAAATTTCACCACTGAGCCATGCTATAATTTATGTTTAGCACGCAAAACGTCTGAATATTGCACAGACATCTTAGCTTAGCCTGTGATCACTGGTTCATACCTTATATCTCATGGTTACCTCAAGTTAACTCCTGCGTAACTATTAATGTACAATTGTACTAGTCTCATTACGTGTCCCCACCCTGTTTGGATGCCTCATAGGCTCTGCTGGCCCGTAGCCAGGCAGTGGGACAGGACTAGCCATCTTATATCAATATTGACTGCTTGCAATGTCTGACCACAAATAGTAATAGGAACACAAGCTCAATTGTTTCAAGCAGCATGCATAGCCAGATTACTACTCTCATTTTACTAAACCTGTCTGAGCTTACCTTTAAACTTATCTTTGCGCTATATTCTAATGACAAAACGGGATAGCCAGGCTGATGATTGGCATAACTATACGTATAACACTGTGCATTTCTCATGCCACTGCCCAATTTACGTACAACCTCAATGCTGTTTATAAGCTAAAATTGTGCGAAAGGAAAGGGAAAGGGAAACGGAAAAAAACGGAAAAAAAAAAAAGGGAGCCCACTGCCAGAACTCCTAAAATGCTCAGACCATAACCAAACAAAACCATGCAGTAGCAAGGGGTATATACTCCTACCTTGCTTAAATTGCCATCATCAGGTATATAACCAAATTTAGCTACTTCCCTTCACTAGTCACTCCAGACTTTTACTGTCTAGCCTGTTTAGCCTGCGGGATATATATAACTTAACAAGGTGCCACTATATTACTCCACTACATTACTTTGGTCACTCTTGTTTTTCCTCCACCAGTGTTGTGAGGCTTAATCGTTCTTACTAACTTGCCTAACTCGACTCGTCACTAAGACACTCTCTGCCCAGACAAACAAGTGTTATGTTTAACTAGTCACCATACTTTAAATATAAAATTTCGTGCTGTTCTCTCAAATGATGCAAAGTATTGTCTCTAACAGTTCTCAATGTCAACCTACATGTATCATTGAATGTACTGCAAATCCTCGCATTTGCTGTTGTGGCAATGCAGGAGGTATTGTAATCTCATGCACGTTCAAAAATAAAGAATTAAAAAAAAAAAAAAAAACTTGCATTATATAATGTTATACGCCCAGGGTGACGAACCGTCCATATACACGTCCTTTGGCGAGGACAGCTGACACCCCACCACGACAAGAGCCACAAAAGGGGAGACACGGGAGACTGACCGAACCAGACTGTACAGAACAGACGGAGACCGCAGGACGTACCACCTGGGAGCGGCCTTCCACACACGGCCACAACCCGCCAGGAGACCTCAGCCCTCCTCCTATTCCCCCATGGGACAGGCGTCAAAACCAGGTGAGTGGTTCCTTGGGCCCACGGAAAGGCTCAGGTCCTCACAAACACCCTGGCGCAAAAACGCTAATGTCACCTAGGCGGTGGACACCTCAATTATCCCCCCCACCCCTGACTCATCCCTTACCCATCCCCCCTCCCTGACACCCAACGACAGAAGACTACGAAACAGAGCCAGTCACTGAACATGACACTCACACCAGCCAACCTCACAATAGTATCCATCAACGTGAAGGGGCTCAACAAACCTGAAAAGAGGTCGACAGCCCTACGCGAGTTCCATGCTGTCAAGGCATCCATAGTCTACATACAAGAGACCCACTTCAAAGACGGGGTTCAACCCAGAATGCACGATCAGATTCCCCAAGGGGTTCTTCAGCAACTACCACGAGGGCAAAACCCGAGGGGTCGCGATCCTCATGCATAGGAGGGTCCCCTTCGTAGAGAGGGAGACACAAACGGACCAGGAGGGAAGATACATATTCGTGAAAGGGACAATCGCAGGTCAAACTTACACATTTGCCAACATAAATGCCCCCAACCAGAGACACCACAGATTTCTCTCACGAACACTACGCCTACTAGGGAAAATCATGGAGGGCATCCTAGTACTGGGGGGAGATTTCAACCTGGCTTTGGACCCGAGATGGGACACATCCACAGGCGCCACGCACATCCCAGCCACACACCTAGCCGCTCTCAAATCACTGCTGTCTAAACAAAAACTAGTGGAATGCTGGAGGGCCCATCACCCCGATGAAAGAGATTACATGTTCTTCTCCCACCCTCACACCACATACACCAGAATTGACTATTTCTTCATGTCACACTTCCACCTCCCACTAGTCCTGCACGCAGAACACGGCACGGCGACATGGTCTGACCACGCCCTAGTTTCGATCACAATAACATCTCCCCTACACAGACCCACGATGGCCAAATGGCACCTAAACGAACACCTACTCACGCTACCTGATATAAAATCCGACATCAGCACAGTCCTTAGAGAGTATTTTACCATCAACACACCCGAACACACAACACCAACAATCCTATGGGAGGCACACAAGAGCGTGGTACGGGGTCACTTCCTGCAAAAAGGTGCCCTCCTGAAAAAACGAAGGGAGGCAGAGAAATAACATGAATAAGGGCAAACAGACACACGCGCTACAGGACAAGCTCATTACACTACGTAGGGACCTGACTCGAATACTCCAGAGGAGACACCACAGAGATGAACTGAGACACAAAGCGTTTTTTTGCCCTACGTGGCAACAAAAGCGGCAAACTGCTCGCACGGATGTTAGCCAAACTTAGACAGCAGACATACATAGACCGCATCAGAGATGACAAAGACACGCTACACCGACTACCCACGAAGATCCAGGAAATAATCCGAACATACTACGTGAATCTGTACACCCTACCCCAACCTCAGTCACAAGCCGCGGACAAACGCCTACTGGACTCCATAAACAATTACCTAGCCACACACACTCTACCCACTCTAGACGGAGACACAGCGAACCTCCTCGATGAGGCGATCACACCTGAAGAGCTGGCCTTGGCGATTAAACAGACAAAACCGGGCATAAGCCCGGGCCCTGACGGTCTGCCGCTGTGCTACTACAAAATCCTTCACGGAAACACTCTACGCCCCACTCGTGGCCACTTACAACGCCATCAGGGCACACATCACCATCCTCCCCAAGGAGGGCAAGGACGGGGAGCACTGCGGGAGCTACCGACCCATTTCTCTCATAAACTGTGACCTCAAACTATTGGCCAAAATCTTGGCCACCAGACTACAGACCCACGTGCCCCATCTGGTACATCCTGACCAGGTGGGGTTCGTGATGGGAAGGGAGGCACGTGACAACACCATGCGCACCCTCACACTGATGCACGGCCACAGGGGCGACCACGGGGGCCTTCTTCTGCTGTCCACGGACGCAGAGAAGGCCTTTGACAGGGTCAACTGGAAGTATATGTTCAGAACACTAGCACACACAGGCATGGGCCCCAAGGTCCTAGGATGGATAGAGGCCCTATACAAACAGCCCTCCGCCCAGGTGGTGGTTAACAGAGCCTTGTCGGCGACATTCGACATACAGAACGGCACCCGCCAGGGCTGCCCCCTGTCCCGGTTACTCTTCGTCCTTGCCATGGAACCAATCTTGCTGGCCATAAGAAATAACCCGGACACCAGGGGAGTGATGGTAGGGACGACCCAATACAAAATTGCTGTGTACGCAGACGATCTGCTCTTCTACGTGACTAACCCAGAAGTATCCCTCCCCAACATACTCAAAGCATTTCACGACTTCGGTACCATATCTAACCTGAAAATCAATTTCTCAAAATCATACATACTTAATGTCAGCGTACCAGAACACAGAGCGTCTCCCATGCGCCAACACTACACCTTCCAATGGGCAACTCATAAAATTAGATATCTGAGTATTTGGCTAACAAGGAAAGAGGGCGACCTATTTAGGGAAAACTTCACCCCGATACACATTCAATTCCGCTCAGAGATGCGAGAATGGGCGTACCAACACATCTCCTGGTTAGGCAGGATATAGATGGTCAAGATGAATTTCCTCCCACCCCTTCTCTACCTCTTCCAGACCGTTCCCATAACGATCCCCCGCACATTTTTCACCACGCTCCGCACAGCACTAGGCCGATACGTATGGAACGGGAAACAACCTAGGATACAACATACCACATTAACCCAACCAAAAGACAGGGACGGCCTGGCACTACCAGATTTCTCTTTGTACTACAGGGCCTGCCACTTCCTTAGGATCATGGAATGGTCCAAGGAAGGGGTGCATAAACTGTGGAAACAGGCAGAGGAGAGCGAGGCGGTAGTCCCTATGGCGGTACTGCCATGGTTGCTGCCAGGGACTTGGAGCGAGACACGGACACACTCCCCCTACACGAGGGCCACCCTACAGGAGTGTCACCACATGAAAGGGAGACACAGCCTCTCATCATACCCATCGCCTCTGCACCCACTGACACACAACCCAGAATTCCCACCGGGACTAGACCCGAAAACATTCCAAGCCCTAATATATGACCCGGTACCCAGACTCAGACACGTTTACAAGCCAGAGGGCATCAAAACGCTAAGCGACCTCCGAGGAGACGCAGTCAGCACCTTCCTGACACAACTAAAATACAGGCAGATACAGCACTACATCGCAACCCTCCCACAGGGCGCGATACTAACAAGAGCCCCCACAACATTTGAGGAAGCATGCCTGGACCCACAACCATTGGCCCACGGGGTATCCTTCCTATACACTTTGCTCCTGACACTTACGCCAACCACACAACCAAGCTTCATGGGAAGGTGGGAGGGGGCACTGGGACACACGCTTACCAGGGTAGACTGGAAGAAAATCTGCTACCTTACACATCACTGCTTCAGCTACAGCAAGACTCAGGAAACAGCATACAAAATATTGACCCTCTGGTACCGCACACCCACGACACTACACGCGATCACACCAGACCATTCTCAGCTGTGCTGGAGATGCGGAGTGGAGAATGGCACACTCTTGGACATATGGTGGGGATGCAGTAAGATCACCCCGTTCTGGAAGGAGATTCACACAATGCTACAACTCTTCTCAGATGACCCACCTCCCTTTAGACCTGCGGAAATGTTGCTACACCATACCAAGATACCCAGATCCATATACAAAAAATCCCTGACAATACGCATAGTGAACACAGCCAAATCAATCATACCACAATACTGATACGACGGAGACTGATCACAGACCCCAACGTAACCCAGACACCAGACAATGACAAAAACCCGACCCCCAACACCTACCCCAACCTCCTATACCAACCCACCACCTTCCACACCCCAACCCACTAGCTACAACTCAAACGGGACAGCTGGAACCATCCAGGAAACCGCCCCGTATGGGGAAACACGGGAGACCACAACCACAGGAACCCCACGAGCGATTATGCTCCCAACACACAAGACAAAACACCGAGAGACACGAGGGGAACACCACAGGTCCCTCCACTGACCGACCTTGGCGAACCTATCATAGCGCACGCCACACAGCAGGGACTGATCCGCACCAGGCCCTTAGGGCACTTACCGACACCACATGGGATCCACCCACTAGCATACCTACGGAACATGACCAACGAAATGAGACATATTGAGCAGCGGATACAGAGTCCCTAATATAACCGTTACCAAAAGGTTCATGCCCACGGGACCTGCGTGTCCTTCCACCACAGGGGGCCTGCGAGCCCACCTGGAAATGCACATATCAGAACTTGTTAATCTCCTATTGCCTTGATAAGCGATGGACCTGCGAGTCCAGAAACCACATGCATCTACCTTATTTCTCTTGTGAATTTAAAACCAATAAAAATTACATTTACAAAAAAAAAAATCTTACTCCAGATGTACTTGCCTTTTAAATGAAAAACAAATGTAACATGAATCTTGCAAATCCTAACCTTTACAAACTTTCATTTTCCAGATACAGAAAAGATCATTACCACCAAAGTCCTTTATAAACCCAGCCATGCTCTAGCGCTGATTGCCCCATATCATCTCTTCCTTTGCCATTGTTTTTTAAAGTATTCTTCTATTTTGCTCTATGTACTTGGATATCTATTTGGATCATGTCCTAAATTTACCTACCTCGCTGACAACAGTTTTCAAATTGCAGTATGCAGTACAGATGGTTAATGGAACCCATTTTCCTCTGTTGTAGGAAAACACTAAAACTTTTATTTCTCAAAATAAAACACTGATGGCTCGGTGTTCTTCTATCAAAGCCCTGTGAGACATTCATTTGCAAAGTAAAATGAGCAACCAATTAAAATTATGAGATCATATACATCCTGGTAAATATTTTGGCATAGGAAAAGTGCTAAGGCAGATAAAACAGATAAGCAAAAGAAGAAATGCATTAATAGAACTACGTTTCAACTCATTCTTAAAATATTAATGCTGCATAAAAATAGTTTGTTATTCCCTTTTGATTAAATCTTTGCAGCCTACATATGATAAGCACAGTGGGAGAGCTAAATGAATTCTCTCTCATGGAGATGAATGTAATAAAAAGATTCTTGATAAGATGTTTTAGCCTCCGGAGAAAAATGCCATTGCGTACAATGTAGACATACTATTATGTATGGTTTAATATAACAATCGAAGAAATCGGACACAGCTCTCTTCCAAAAATAAATCTACACCATCTCCCCATATGTAAATAATAAACTATATACCTGATGGCAACAGACAGTAAAAATAAATGGATCATGGTTGTAGATACAGTTTTTGTAATTGTATAACTGTTTGTGCAGTGGACAATTTAACATGTATCGAACATGAATTTGAAGAGGTTAGAATGAAATTAATGCCACAGAGATTTAATGATAGTATATGCTATAATTTACATTTATACACACACCACACATTCTTTGCTTTTAGAATTATCACACCATCCCGCTACCTATAAACTTCTTGTGCTCCTTAAGCTACTTTGGGAGATGTCCACTATTCCACCATTAAGAAGTTTAAGCATGACCCATGAAAGCCTTAAATAAGCCCTGGGTTGGCAAATCTATGGTACATATAATGGGACATAGTAAACACTGGGCAGAACTGAACTGGACCATAGTTTAGTAAATCCAGCATACCTCCATCCCTAACTAACTAACTACTACTGACTAGATTGTTTAGTGAAAAAAATTGTCCTTTGATAAAATGAGTTTGTTCTCAAATTATGTTCTGCAATTTTTCCAACACTTGGGAATACACATTGATAAGAATAAGAAACTATTCACCAATATACCATTTTACTTTTATAATTTGAAATTTATGAGCATTTATGCACACTAAGAAAGGAAGCATTAAACAAACAGAACATACACCTGGTTGTAATCCTCACCAGATGATCTACAGTAAAGGAAATACACAGTTTATTGAGGTCCCATATCAGATTGGAGAGCAATAACGAGCCATAACCCTTATGAATAGAAATGAGTGGCAAATGTGCCCACTTAATGTCTATTTAGAGTTTGGAATGCTTTAAGTATAATGGAATTTGAGATGCGGAATGGCCTCGAGGTTGAGTTACTGGGAGCCCTCTCTACTCAATCAATAATTGAAGGGTTTCTCCACTTTGACTTGATCTGGTGTGTTGTCTCATTTAGATTTGCCACCAATCAGTCAATATCAAGGCAACTCCAACCAAAGCAAACAGTCTAGTCCTCGCCATTTGCTTAAGTTGTTGCTTATTTATTTTTGACAATTTTTCATCTTCCCTTTTACCTTCTTATTTTCTGTCTTTTTTTTCTTTTACTTCACAATTGTTTTGGTTATTAAATTAACATCTGTTCTTCTTACTGCTACATCTCAGAGGGGATTTTTTTGATGCACTGCATAACACATTTATTATTTATTTTTTTAATGATTTTTTTGTTTTTTTATTGTATTTGTCATTACCTGGTATGTTATTTCTAAGTTTTTACCTTTTCTCTGTACATTCATTTAATCACTTACTGACTCTTAATATACGCTTTCATAGAAAATTAATTTCTTTTTCTGAGTAACTTTGTAAAATATATCTAGTTTCTTTGATACAAAGTTTAATTTTATAGTAGTGATACTGCCAGCAGAATACTCATTAAAATCTGTTTGATTTTGAATAAAAGTTTTGCAAAGTTGTGAATGATAAGTTGGCAGAGTCCTAACTCTTGAATAATATCTCCCAAATGCAATGCAAGTGTATAGGAGCAAAAGAAATTAATTGGCAAGATGAAAGGAAATATGAAAGAAGCAGAATTATTATAAAACACACTAAAAGTGTATGTATAAATATTTCATAAAAATCTAATTTTAAAATATACAATGGTTCTGAAATAACAACACGTAAAAGCAAGCAAAGTAAAATCTCTGACTATGCCTCTGAAAAGCCATATTTTCAGGCAATTCATTCAGTTTATAATTGGGTGAATATCAAAATTCAAGAACTTTACATATATTTTTGACATTTTTGGCTGTGATTTCGTAGCAGACACCGAATTACCACACAGCAAATTAATCTCCAAATTTGATGCAGAAGTGAACTTAATGGGAGACTATCCCTTTAAATGATTCTAATATAATAAATCCCCCATACTTAACAAGTATCTATTTGTTAGATATGCAAAAATAAATGAAATATAGAATCCACACTGCCCTATACAGGAATATGTCTCCATTGTAGCTCCTTGTCAGTCGTTGGTAACTGTCACCTTATAGTGAGCAAATAGAATAAAGGACAAACAAACATTCCATGTTCTCTTCTCCCAATGCATTGTGGGTCATGGCTGGGACAAGATTGTGATGTAATGTGTTTTAATATAAATTTAAAAGAATACAAAGCATTACATGAAAAAAGGTTAACACAAGTTAATGACGTCTTTTTAATGTATTATTCAACAATATAATTTCCAGAGCCAACGAGTATGTGAATTGCAATTTTGCACCAAACTTTTTTTTATTGAATGTTGCAATTTGGACACCCATAAAGGGTCAGTGAATCAACCTATACATTATATGCCATTTTGTGTTCATTATTTTGTTTTCTTTTGTTTGTTGTGTGAACATTTTCTTATATCAGACAATATATACAATAAGATTGTGGACAAATTGTCGAAATATTTTTTTCTTTTCCCATAATTTCTTACTCTACAGGGATTAATGGTATATGTAGTCTAGCCCTCAAGAGATGAGTGGAACTGCTAAATACCGTGGCAGCGGTGGGATGGCGTCCTAGTGCGAGGTAAAGCAGCTCAGAGACACCGTTCGTGGAGTTACAAATTGAGGGCAACGCTAGCACACGTGCAGCGCCCCTGGGAGCAGAGGTATCCAGTGAACTGGAGCAGACAAGTATGGAAGGCTCTGGCGATGATTGGATGGCCAAGTTGAGGCAGCGAGTGGCCCAGTAGGGGGATGATTTACCCATGGAGGTACGCCGGGTGATCTGGAACCAGGTCACGGCCGAGCGAAACACAAGGCTGGCCCAAGAATTCCGGCTGGCGAAAGAGAGAGAGTATGCTCAGCGGAAGGAGTGTTACAGCAGCCGAGTAGAGGCTGCATCCGAGGAGGCTAGCCGTCTCCCCCTGAGGCGGCCGCAGGAACCCGAAGTAGGGGTCCTCATAGACTGGTCCTGTGAGGAACCACAACAGGCAGGTGTAGATGGGACCGAGGTCTCTCCACCGGGCCCACCGGGATGCTGGACAGCCGGCCCAGATCCCCAGCAGCAGCCGGAGTTGCCAGGTGCGGAAGCAGGTGGTCCTTACTCACAAATGTTGAGGGACCACACAGACTGGTCCTGGGAAGACCCACAGATGGCAGGTGGAGATGGGACGGCGGTCTCTCTACCAGCCCTACAGGGATGCTGGGCGGTCGGCCCAGATCTCCAGCAGCAGTATGTATCACAGGGAGCTGAAGGTGCTGTCCTTCCTCCCCAGCGGCAGTGTGAGTCCCAGGGAGCCGAAGGTGTCGTCCTTCCTCCCCAGCGGCAGTGTGAGTTCCAGGGAGCCGAAAGTGCTGTCCTTCCTCCCCAGCGGCAGTGTGAGTTCCAGGGAGCCGAAGGTATTGTCCTTCCTCCCCAGCGGCAGAGTGTGTCCTTAGGAGAGAAGACAGTTGGTCCCTCTCCCCAGCAGTCCAGTAAGTCACAGGGAGCTGAAGGTGCCGTCCTTCCTCCCCAGCGGCAGAGTGTCCTGCAGGGAGCAGAGACAGTCGGTCTCGCTTCCCAGCAGCGGGACAATATATTGAAAGGAGAGACAGTCAGAGAGAGAGTCAGGGAGAGGAGCCTGTTACCCCCTCTCTCCAGCGGTTGAAAGTGTGTAAGGGAAAGGAGTTTCTTACCCCCTCTCCCCAGCAGCAGCGTAGCCCACCATGGGGAGACACTAAGCCCCCCACCAGCGCAGTTGGGACCGTGGTCTCTGCACCCAAGCTACCGGGAGTACGGACAGTCGGTCCTGCTCCACAGCGGCAGAGAATTCTACCGGGAGGGGAGAGTCTTGTTCTCCCTCCCCAGCGGCAACCTAGCCCTTCAAGGGGAGATGATAAGCCCCACACCGGTGCAGATGGGACCATGTTCTCTGTGCCCAAACCACAGGGGGTAGGGATGGTCAGTCCTGTCCCCCAGCAGCAGGGCTGTTTATCCAAAGGGGAGACAGCCTGTCTTCCCCTCCAGCAGCAACACCAGGTCCAGAGGGAGGAGCCTACTAACCCTTCTCCTCAGCTGAGCCCCAACCAGGCTACTCCCGTGGTAGCGCTGGCACCAGGGCAGAGTACCGCTGGTCTCTGCCCACGCAGCAACCCACCAATCCGGAGGGCTAGTACTCCCCAGATCCATGGTGGAGCCCCTGGACATGGACAAGCTACCCACTACCCCAGGTACAGTAACTTTTCATTGTGGGTGGGCTGCACTACTGACTATGTTTTGTGGGTGGGTTGCTGGACTAGCCAAGGCACTGACCGACAGGAGGTCAGATACCTTGTTAATCTTTTTGGGAAAGGGGAGAAATGTGGCAAAACCGACCTCGCCGCTGGGCATTGGAGAAGACTGATTGCCAGCCTCCTGCCATGTGACTATGGCCCCTGGGATGTATTGCCCTTTAAAGACATGATTTGGCCATAAGGGATTTGTGTTGTGCTGCTGCTGGCCCTTTAAGAACCATCTGGGGACATACTGTGGAGTTACTGGGTGGCCACCATTTCCTGTATCAGAGGCACCACATGGTGAGAACAATGGATGAAGCACATGGTGAGAACAATGGATGGCGGCCATTTTAACTCACAGACACTGTTTGGACTTTTCAACACGGTGCCATCTCGCCAGTATTTGGTGCACAGAGACATCGTGCAGTGGTTTTGGACTATACTGCAGGGGACACATTATACAGTGATTGTTTTTCATTTAGCCTGTATATGTTCTGCAGAATCTGCATTAAACTGTATCTTCCAAAGTACTGAACGGATCTGGGTGAATCCCCCGGTTCCAAGGATATACTTTTTATGGGGTTATTGCATATTTTGGGGTCCCTGTGATGTGTTTTATGAAACTGTATTTCTCTGTCTGTGATAATTAGATTACCCATTGTGTAAGGTAATTGTATTACAGGCAGAGGGGAGGATTTTGTGTGGGAGTGTCTGTGTGTATTGTACAGATTGATTGGTTGTTCTGTAAAACCCTGTGGGCAGTACTAAGTTTGTGGATTGGGAATAAAAGAGGCTGTATGTGCCAGTACAGTCAGTTCCTACTTAACCCTCAAAGTGAAGTGTCGTCTCATTATTGGGGGAGGATTTATGGTATGTTGTTCCAGTTTGACTGCTAGGAGTGTAAACCTATTCGCATGGTTTTTCCTATTCGGCTGTATACAACATTCATATGCTTGAGAGCATTCATATGCTCCTACAGTTCAGTGGTTGTGGTGTCTGCTGCAGTGCTTGGAGTCCTCGGGAAGCGCTAGGAGCATCCTTCAACGGAGGTACCCAGTCGGGGTGCCAGGTGATCCGTTACACTCAGCCATATCACGGTTACTGTCAGAATATTCACAGCTTGTCTCATTGTTGTGTGACCTGGGCTGTGTGCAGTTGTCTCTCAAGCTTCCAGCTACGCGTGCACGCACAAGCAGCTCATTCTCTTGCTCAAGCTGTAGAATAAAGGATCAAATAGAGTGCAACTAAATACACTCAAGGAAATAATCTAAAACACATCATTATAGTTAAATCCTCAATCAACTTAATAGTAGTAAAATTATATTTTGATATTATCATTTCATAAATGATAATTATATAAATGATTGTTATCTTTACAAATGATAAAATTAATCATTGTTAATCCGTAGCAGTGCTGTTGTTTTTCTTCGTTGTATTTGCTTTAATGTACTTTGGAGTTCTATGATTTCTGTCTGGCATTTTATAGCAATATTTATAGACTTAGAGTTTATAAAAGCTATGAGTGCAAAATAATGATAGACAAGTGAATAGTGATGCGAAAAGCACAATATTACTTATTGCAGGAGCAACCACTGGGATGTCATTTGTGGCAGGAAAGGAATCCAATATAACAACTGACAAAATAAAGCTTTTCTACAAGAATTCGGTACAGGAAGAAGGCTAGTCATTGACTTTGTTTGAAAGCTGTAGACTGCTCAGTAGAAAACAAAGTATACAAATGAAGGATGAAGGAATGGAGCCGTGTGACATTTTGACTAACCTGAAGGTCTCTTAGATATTGGTTATGTTCTCTTCAGTACAGATGCAGAATTATTTTATTAAAAAACTAAAATTCAACCCCTGTATGTAGGTATTGGACAAGCTAAGTATTAAGGTTTTGTGCCCTTTTTGATAACGATCACAGCTCCCGATAGACCTGTGTTTGAAGAGGTCTTTTTTCTAACTTCCTAGGTTCATTACGTGAAATTGTATCTCACTCTGATGGTCTAGAACTTTGGACGAAATGGAATGTGTAGAAAATATTATTTTGAATTTTAAAAAAGGGTTCTCTAATCATTTCAAAATACATGCTATGCTATTCTTTCGATCGTCAGAAAAAACAGCCTATCTGTGGAGGTAAATCAAGTTGATACATTTTCCATGCTTCGTTACTGGTCATTCAATAAATATGTTGACAAGTTAATATTTTCAGGGGAATGGTGGTAGAACAGTGTTGCTACCAAATTTGGTGTGTCAGTACATAGAATTTGTCATGATGGATTATTGAACCAACATTTTACATTTCTCAGTCATTTTATTTAGACTGAGGGTGGAGTAATAAGTAAATGAAGAGGGGCATCTATTATAAGCTCCGTTATTTCCATCACTTTTAAGGCAGATCTTGGGGGATTGTTACTCAAATTCAATTATTCCATTGGCTTACCACCAAAGTGTATTATAGGCAGTAAACCTGCATGTGGGATCTTAAAACATGAGAGACATCCACACAGTGCCCCAGTCATAAAGACTTAAGATGGTTATTATTTTTGTTCCTTTGAATCAACTAAGAAGGGTAACGGGGATTTCATACTCACCTCTCCCAAACCTGGCTGGCCAAGTACATCTTTCCTAGCTGGGATCCCCACTACTCTCTCAACAATAGGAGATCTGTCAGGACCTGATTTCCTTAGAAACATTGAAACATAGAAACATGGAATGTGATGCAGATAAGAACCATTCGGCTCAATCTTCTAAATACTTTCATTAGTCCCTGGCCTTTTCTTATATATAGGATAGCCTTATGCCTATCCCATGCATGCTTAAACTCCCTCACTGTGTTAACCTCTACCACTTCCGCTGTAAGGCTATTCCATGTGTCCACTACCCTCTCAGTAAAGTAATATTTCCTGAACTTATTTTTAAACCTTTGTCCCTCTAATTTAAGATCATTCCATCTTGTTGTGGTAGTTTTTCTTCTTTTAAATATAGTCTGTTCCTTTACTGTGTTGATTCCCTTTATGTATTTAAGTGTTTCTATCTTATCCCCCGTCTCATCTTTCCTACAAGCTATACATGTTAAGATCCTTTAGTCCCTGGCCTTATCTTATATATAGAGGATAGCCTTATGCCTATCCCATGCATGCTTAAACTCCCTCACTGTGTTAACCTCTACCACTTCTGCTGTAAGGCTATTCCATGCGTCCACTACCCTCTCAGTAAAGTAATATTTCCTGAACTTATTTTTAAACCTTTGTCCCTCTAATTTAAGATCATTCCATCTTGTTGTGGTAGTTTTTCTTCTTTTAAATATAGTCTCCTCCTTTACTGTGTTGATTCCCTTTATGTATTTAAATGTTTCTATCTTATCCCCCGTCTCATATTTCCTACAAGCTATACATGTTAAGATCCTTTAACCTTTCCTGGTAAGTTTTATCTGCAATCCATGAACCAGTTTAGTAGCCCTTCTCTGAACTCTTTCCAAAGTATCAATATCCTTCTGAAGATACGGTCTCCAGTACTGTGTACAATACTCCAAGTGAGGTCTCACCACCAGTCTTCTGTACAATGGCATGAGCACTTCTCTCTTTCTACTGCTAATACCTCTCCCTCTACAACCAAGCATTCTGCTAGCATTTCAAGCTGCTCTATTACATTGTCTTCCTACCTTTAAGTCATCTCAAGTAATTACTCCTAAATCCCTTTCCTCAGATGTTGAGGTTAGTAGGGTATCAAATATCCTATACTCTGCCCTCGGGTTTTTACATCCAAGGTGCACTTATCCACATTAAATATCAGTTGCCATAACTCTGACCATTTTTCTAGTTTACCTAAATCATTTGCCATTTGGCTTATCCCTCCTGGAACATCAACCATGTTGCAAATCTTAGTATCATCAGCAAAAATACATACCTTACCATCAAGCCTTTCTGCAATATCACTAATAATAATATTAAAGAGAATGTGTCCAAGTACAGATCCCCGAGGTACCTCACTGGTAACTAGACATTGCTTTGAAAATACTCCATTGACTACAACCCTCTGTTGCCTGTCACTCAGCCACTGCCCAACCCATTCAACAATATTGGAATCCAAACTTAGAGCTTGCAATTTATTGATGAGCCTTCTATGTGGAACAGTGTCAAAAGCCTCACTGAAATCTAGGTAAGCAATGTCTACTGCACCACCCTGATCTATAATTTTAGTTACCCAATCAAAAAAATCAATAGGATTAGTTTGGCATGATCTCCCTGAAGTAAACCCATGTTGTCTCTGATCTTGAAATCCTTGTGATTTTAGATGTTCAACAATCCTATCCTTTAACATGGTTTCCTTTATTTTCCCCACTACTGTAGGCTTACTGTCCTATAGTTGCCCAACTCTTCCCTACTACCTTATGAATGGGCACAAAATTCCCTAATTCCAGTCTTCTGGGTCTACTTCTGTTAATCACTTCAACTTTTAGGCTATTCCATGATAACAATGATTGGTTAGATAAATCCATTAATGGTAGCCCGTATTCTCTTCAGTTGAGAACATTAAAACTGCCATTGAATGAGTAAAGGCAACAAGAAAGATATCTAAGACTTCAGAGGCCACAAGACTAAGACAAACTCTCAAGTTTCTGCTACTATCAGCACCAATACCATGTCCTAGGTCCAAACCTTAACCTAAAATGCTCTCTAAATCACAAATCTTTGAATTAGTTCAGAACACTACATAAAACAGTTATAAACCATCTGTAAAAATGTATGATGTATGACAATTGCATAAACTCTATATTGTTAAAATGACAAAATATAAGACGGCAAAGCAAAAATAAAGAATAATAAAAAAAAATAATAATAAAAAGAAACTATAGTTTATAAACTCAACACCTGGTGTATTTTCCCCAAGCCATGCTGTAACAGCCCTGCACCCCACTACATTAAAAAACCCTGCACCCACAGAAATACATCTACAATGTGCTGTATAATTAACTCCAAATATGGT